GAAGGCAGACGCTTAACGACTGAGCCACCCAGGCGCCCCTGTTATAAATCTATATTTTTATGTAAATAACCGAGTACTATACTTACACCTTGTACACCACATCAAGAAGCAAAGATGCCACAGGGATAAATAACAGGCCCATCCAGAAGACGCCAGAACTAAACAACATGGCAGCCTGAGTAAATGATCAGAAACAACATTGCTTTAACAACGAAGACATACATCATTCATGTTTAGTTTTTATATGATTTTAAGTAAAATAATTAAAAAAAATCTCACTCTGCAAGAGGATATACAGTAACTTTAAATCCAAACTTGTGCACAATTTGGAATTAAAAGCCAAATGTGTTAAAACATCTCTTTACCACATCTATTCCCCCCCCTTAAGCAGCTAATATAGCAAGGTTTTTATCACGTACCAAATCTTTTCATACTTTTATGTGAGATTTTTATTACTGTGGTCAATACGTGGAGTAATAAAGTTTGACCTTCTTTTATAACTTAGAATATCAAAATCAATCTTTTGGAGCAAATTTCAAATATACTCTGGCTTACATTCTCTTATAACATGTAAAATAAATCCTAGTTAGAAACTAAATTTACTATTCTTGGCAAATAAAAATTAACTTTTGTAAAATATTACATTATATTAAAAATTATCCACATAAACCATGATACAGTATAATCAAATTAAGATATCTATGATATTAGGCAGCATAATCTTAATTTTTGTTCAAAGATTTTCATAACTCGTATCGGTATGTCCTGTTACTGTGAAAGTCAAACCAAATATCTAGTGTGTAAAACCCAAATAACAGTGTATTAAAAATAATTTTAATCATTCCTTTGTATTAACTCACTATATCAGAACCTTTTGGGTTGCAAAGAAAATGATTCTATGGTTAAAAAATTAATAAATCTATTAGCTGTTTGCAATTAGAATAAAAATCCCTCTGTATGTAATTAGATACACAGAGTGTAAAAGGAATATGTCATACAATAAAACCAAAAGAAATATTTTGTTTCACTTTGAGGCTATTTGTTTATCACAGTAAATTTGCAGCACCTGTTTAAGTGCATAAATATATTGGTATAACTCCATTAAAAAGTATCCAACTAACGCAAGCACATTTACACTCCGCTCAAAATCACAAGGATTTTTTTTTTTAAACCAGGTGTGGTTCAGGAATTAAAAATGACCTAGAGTTTAATTCTTACGAGCCAATGCACAATTACACATTAACGGTCCTAACCAGTCAATCCTTACCTAATATAAAGATTACTAATTTTAAATTAAGTTTGAGATTACCTATTCATTTTAACTCTCAACCGAAGACCAGGAACTGCTGCTGTTTAGTTTTTTTTTTTTTTTTGGCATTAACATGGGCTCATGATATAGACTGTCAGTTCAAGGATGCTATGGTCTTTTTTTCCCCCTATATAGGATTAAATAGCTCTGAGCATGTTTAAAATAAAAACATGCTATTATAAAAGAATTTCAGAAAATAAATGTGGCCACGTGGATTCAGTGAAATAGCACCTATATTCTAGACACCAACAGGACAAAAAATATTCACATAAAAGTCACTTTATTTTATAAGCAAAACATGATCTTCAACATGTTTGCTGACATCCTCAATAGTGAAAACCAACAATTACTATGTAATAGGAAATGTCTATCAAATCCGTGGGTTTTGTTTAGATTGAAGGAAGCTTTTTAGTGAGGTAACAACTGCAAAAAACACACACAAAAAACCCCACAGCCACACAAAAAAACCTAACCACATTTCTTTTTCCTTCTGGGGGGCAAAGGTAGATAGGATTCTAGAGCCTGCAACTGAAAATGCCTCATTTGCTTGGCTTGATTTTAATCTATTTTAATTTAGGGGCAAAAGCAGCAAGATTTATGCTTGCCTTTACCACCTTGAATTAAATGTCGCTGGTGGAAAAGGCAAACGTGGCGGTGGAGACTCCGGGCTGCTAATTCTGACCATTGTGATGTTAACTATGAATGGGGAACAAGGGGCGCCCACTATTCAGTCCACCAGCCTTTGGCTTTAGAAATGAACAACATGAATTGAGGGGAAAAAACTTTTTCTGCGTCATATCTGAAAGCCTGTCAGATTTTTTTTTTTCTTTTGCAGAGTTAATCCAAACCTAAAAGATTCAAAGCCGACATTCGCATTAAAGACAGAGTCTCTTTGTATTTTTTGGATGAAGAAGGGGGAGAAAAAAATAAAATCCCACAGAGGTATTTCCTTCCTTTCTGTACAAGAAAGCTCCCCCTCCGTCTGGAGAGACCATTTTTGTCTCTAACTTTTCACAGCTCGCCACTCGCAGGCAGGTCGGCTGGGCAAAGGCGCCCGATCCCCGCAGACAATGAGGGGGCGGGTAACAGGCGCAGGCTGCTCGGGGCTGGGCGCGGGCTCCCTCCGAGAGCAGTTTGTAAATTGCTCCGAACGTGGGAGACTGGTGGGCCGTGCCAAGCGGCCCCCCCGCCCACGGCCCCTCCTCGAGGCCCTGTGAAACCAAATGGAATCTGCCACAAAAGTGGCCCCCGGGGGACCTGAGAAAGGCTCAGACGAAGTCGTGCCAGAACCGGGGAAGTGGGGGGCACAGGCCTGCGCGGGAAACAAACCACCGCTTGTCTCCCTCCGCACAGCCGCGCTGGCTCGCCGGCCGAGCCCGCCGGCTTCCGCAGTGACTCCGGCGGCCGCAAAACGCGGGCTGCGCAGGAATGAGGGATGGTTCACGAACTTCAGTGTGAACTTGCGAGAAGGACCACTGGAGAGAAGCACCGGCGTCGGTGCCTCTTAGCCAGGCCGGGGGCTGGACTGGATAAGAGGGGCTTCCCTTCTGACCCACAGGAGGTGTCCCTTAGCACCTAGTTGGCACACCAGAGAGAAACACTTCTTCCCCATCAGGGGCCCCCAATTCAGTCTTGTAGGAGAGAGACTTTAAAAGTGCTACCTGTCTACACAACTTCAGCGATGTGGTTCTTCCCTCTCACCCCGCCTTCTGAACAATAAATGTCTGACTGGTGCACTAGGACTCTTATTCTTGGATAAAGTACAGAGGCCATCTCAAAGGGAAGGCCCTTTGGGGCGTCCTCGGACTATCTCCTTGGGCCCTGATTGGAGCAGGACTGACGATCAACAGCCCTCAGTAGTCCTGGCGCTGCCCTCCCTTCCTAGCTCTCAGACTCCTCCGGGGAAGGAACTCCGCGTCTCTGCTCCCTCAGCTGGAAAGTGGGCTCTAAGAATTTTTAAACCCCACGGTGTTTGCAGAGTGGCTGCTTTTATTATTGACACCGATTAACAACCGTTCCCTTCTTCATTTAATTTTCAAATTTCTTAAAATACCTAGGTCTTTCGTTCTTTCCAGTGATCTCTCCTATGAGCTTCAAGGAAGAAAATTTTTGTCGCTGTAAGTCAGTTTGTAAATGTCATGGTTTTCATCACATTAATGTCACAATATATGCTCATCTTAAGACTGAAACTGACCAAGATAACCGGCCACTAATAAGCTGCCATTCATCTCGATTTGTTAATTTAGGAACTGGAGACAAATTATCTTTTTCATAAAAATTATTAGACTGTCAGGGCATAATAATTTAGGAAGGGAAAATTATTCAGAAAACAGTGCTGTAAATCTTGTTTAGTTGTTTTGCGGAGGGGAGGGCGGACAGCAAGATAAATTAATATAAATTCTAGGGAGGTGAAGAGTTCATGTCCATAATTAACAAAAAAACAAGGAGTGATTATTAAGTGTCTAGATAAAGCTTTATAAAAGGACTTTCCAAGCTTAAGAACAGTAAAAACAAAAAACAAAAAAAACAAAACAAAAACTGTAAGAAGAAATGCTTTAAAGTACAGATTGATAAAAATGTCTAAGTTCTACATGTTCTAAAAGAACATAACTAAAAAGCAAATGATAAACAAGAAACTGGGGGAATAAATGACTGTTGCAAATATATGAAATTCTGCATTAATACCTGATTATAAAGATAGACCATTTATCTTCATAAGAATAGCAAAGGTCCCAGTAAATAGGCAAAAGACCAGAGAGGGTATTCACAAAAGCAGCAGTAAGTAATCAATAACCCGGAAAAGTGCTACACCTCTGTGGCATCATAGAAACCCTACAAATTAGATCAGATTTAAACAATTCACTATCACAGTCGGTGTGGGAGAAACAGCTCTTTGTAATCATTTATATTCCCACTGGCAATGTACTCGCCTTTGGGAAAGGTATTTGGCAATGTGCAGCAAGGACATAAAAAAATTCCTGTTAATTTGATAATTCAGTTTCTGGAACTATGTGTTGAAATTTGGGACAGCTTTTGCATATAGGTTAGTATCCCATGAAACTGTTCTGTGGTTACTAGTCCTGAGAGTCCAACCCCCAGAAAGCATGTTATGGCCCAAGGCTTAGTGAAGGTAGAGATACCAGCAGCACCCTCTCAACGAGTCACACTGCAAAGTAGCATATCTGAGGCTTGGAGAAATCACTGTAAAGTACCCTACTGGACAGGTCCTTATTTATTTATGAATTGTTTTATATAAGTAATCTCTACACCCAACACGGGGCTGGAACTCATGACCCTGAGATCAAGAGTCACAAGCCCTTCGGACTGAGCCAGCCAAGCACCCCAAACAGTTTTTTAAATCAAGGTTTCTAAATGTATTTATCCACATGGAACACTTTTGCCACATTCCGCTTACTAACACATCCCCTGGAACTAATTCTGGGGAATGCAAATATTCAATGTGGGTTCTTTTAAATAGGAAAACATCAGTGAAAACGAACAGGACACCATGCGGCGGGATATGGAGACGTACAGCCATATGAGAGCATATTATCCAAGCTGTTCAAGACGCTGTTCACAGACTGTAATTATTAGAAAACGGACTGTCTAAAAGAGCCCTAAATAAAGGGAAAGGGAAAATATCCTAGTATTCTGTCAGGAGGCTTCTGTTATTGTGTAAACACACTCCCTGGGAAGACTGGTGGTTTCTATTGTCTATGTGGGGATCAGTCACAATCTCTCCCTGTGGCTTACATCTCTTGCCTGTACTTCAAACAGACTGTCCAGCTCTGAACTCGAACGTCGCACAGGTACTTTGAACTTAATACATCTCAAATTGGACACACGCTGTTTTCCCCCCAAACCTG